GAGCAAAAATAGAGGTCAAATTATCATCTTTTCATGTAGTCTTCAGTGCTCTACGACAAGCCAAAAACACAGTGAAATTATTTGTAATCAAGAAGGAATATCTGAGGACACGAATTATTTTGGAGTTTTTCTAGTATCAATTGAACCTACATAATGAGCAAAGTCTTACTACACATACGATTTAGCAATTCGCGAGGTTCCTTGGTCAGATCATGTTTAAATTGGTAGTAATGGAAGTTGATAAAATTCTTTGAACTTTCCGTAGTAGAAACGAAAATGTTTGAAAAATAACTTACATACTCTTTAAACAATCTTTTTAACATATTTTATGAATCTTATACTTTGAAATTAGAAAATTGATTTTGTATCCTTTAGATTAGGTAACTCTCCGTAGATAAGAAACTAATTACTTTTGCAACGTAGCTGATAAGAACAATAATGAGTATCCTATTTTTATATGAAAATCATAGTAACTGTTGAGTTGAGGATATTCATAAAAAAACAATGATTCTTTTTACTGAATAGCAGAGAGTGATTAATTTTGCAGTGATCTTCTGATAATAGTAGTCCACACGGTGTTCTTTCAAGTCTTTATGTTCAACTATCTGAGATTACCCCCTTTTCAAGATGATCTGACCGTGAACATCTTCACTATCTATGGTTTTTTTTTCAAAAAGGTTATCATCTAATACATTTGTCATGGTCGTCCAAATAAAGAGTAATGAAAAATAAATAAATAACTTTCACTTTTGAAAGTATCATGAAAGGATTATCCCAATATTTTTCGACATCGTTCTTTTCTACGTCTGCATTGATCAATGAAATATTCAATGATAACAGAAGAACTTTATAGTCAGCTAGAGTTTGTGCCAAAATTGATAAGCTACATATCTATCGATATTCTCAACAATAAATATATCTGGATCTTTTATAATTTTTTGTATCATCCTTCTTTAATAGGATGCTCTAGTCTTTCAGAGAGAGTGGTTTTCCTAAATTGATATCGACTTAACTCTAATATTCTCTATATATATATATTATCTAATTCAGATACGACGTGAATAAGTATCAGCGAAGTTTCTATCAAAATGAAATTTGAAGATTCATTGTTATATTAAGTAACAGATTATATTGAGTTAATAGAATGATTTTTAAAAAGAAAATTGAATCTTGTTTTTTTTTAATATTTCTTGCGATATTTATGGAACAGAGTTCACATTGATGCGCCAATAAATCCCTATTCAAAGATCTAAAAAAAATGTTTGACATAAATATTCTTATAATCATTTGTATTGAAAACATATTAATTGAATGAGGTCTTATGTTAAGTCTGGCACATATTTTCTCCAAATAGAAAACAGCCGCTCCAATAGAGAATGACGTGACTACCGTGACTGTGACCAAAAAATATTGATCACGCCAATGCCTACTCCCCACTATGTAAAATGTGGAGATTCCCTGAAATATCTCCAGGGAATTCCTTGTTTTTAGGGACTCTCCGTGAATTTTGGGGGATTCCCTGGTGATTTACTGGAGATTTAACATTTTTTCGAGGACTCCCCAGGAATTCGTTAAAGGATTCTCGATTAGGGCCATTAGCTTTGGATAATACCTTAACGATTTCTGAAAATATTATTAAGCTTACAATAGCAAGAGAGAGATATTCTAAAACACTTTCAGGATGTCGAAGTCAAGAATTCAGAAAGCCAGAAAGTATTTTCGGAAACGTTTCAAGTGAGCCGAAATCTGCTCGCAAACCTTTGAAAGTTTGTGAAGGAGTTTTCAAGCGGATTTGAGTTTTCCAGGAATCGATTTCTTTTTAAAAAGTATATCAACTGTGATACATAACATGCATAAGCATAAATGATTCAAAATGAATCCTAATAGGTGCACGGTCCTTTGAGTTGTACTGGAGAAAGCTTCGGTACTCCTTAGATTTTTTTTTTGGAATATGGAATGCTTCAATGAAAGCCTTTTGATCTCCATAGGCTGTGGTTCCTCAAGCCAAACAGCATTACTGCTCTCCGATACAAACACTGCAGCCGTTCAAACATTGGCAAATTCATTACAAACTGCTGGACTAATAGTTAACTCTATTTCAGGCGGAATCACAACTTACAGTGGTACTCCAAATGCAGCCTGTTACAGTGTAGTAGTTTTAATGACAGGTGATTCATATTCAACAGATATGCCAACCAGCGGACAACAATCGATTGTGAGTGCTCAGCAAAATAACGGAACCGGGGTAGTTATCACTGAGTGGGCTGGATTTCACGTGCAGTATGGAAGATGGGCTACATTGTCTTCATTAATGTTGGCTACAAGGCTAGGTGGAAGTAGTGGAACTATGTCATTCACGCTTACCTCCAGCGGGCATCCAATTTGGAATGGTCTTGCAACCACTTTCGCTACGTCAGTAACTATTGGCTGCAGTTCATTTGGTACATTAACAAGTGGAAGCACAGCGATAGCCACATCTACGTTATGCAGTGGTTCTGGTGTGGTTGTCAGCTCCTCTACTGGAGTGACTGGACGCAAAGTACATATTGCTCATGCGAGTCATTATTCTGGAGGTACCACTTTTAACTGGGGAAATGATAACAATATTTTAACGATGATGGTCAATGCAGCTCTATGGGCAGCGAAACTCATATAAATTTCTTTTTTGAATCGTTTACGATGAACTTTGAAAAATTGTTTCTTGTGTATGGAAAAAACAAAAAAGAACTCAATAATATAATAATGATGGAAACATTATTTTTATTTTTGACAAAGAAACTTACTAAAATTAGGTTTTTTTTTTTAAATTTCGTCGAGTACTTTATTTCATCAATAAAATAACATTTTAAATATTTCACAACATGTAGGATAAGTTTGCTTGCCACACATCGTTCCATTACGCTTTGCACATCTCGATTTTGAAGAAATAAGAAAGAACGTTAGCGAAGCGAATCATTCGTTGAACTCGCTTGCCTGTGTGTGGACGCAAATCTAGGAAGGGATGGAGTGTGGGTGTTCATCTTTTCACTCATACATACCCATCTACTCACCCAACTCTGATAAACTCTTTAAAACTTATTTCATTAAGATTATTAACTTAGAATAAGTGCAATATTCCAAATACAATTTATTATCAACGTATGAAGTTTGTTCTCATATAATAGCGATCTAATATTCCATTCTGTAATTATTAATGAAATTTAACAATCACACCATTCTTCGAGAATAAAACATGTCAGTGGTTTAACAAATTTTGTAATAAACTTCAATTCAATTTGATTTCATGAAAACTCAGTTCTTTGTTTTCTATACAGCAAAATCCAGTTCATTCAATCCAATGAACAACTAGTATCAAAAATGAGGATGTGCCTATCAGTACAATTGAAAATCATTCCTCCACACCCTCAAGAGCAAGAGAACAAGTGAAATCAAACAGATGAGCTCATACTTTTGGCATGCACTGTAGATTTATACGAATCATACTCGTAACGATTACTATTCTCTTAAAAGATAAAATATATTTCATTGGATATAGAATTATCACAGGAGGACTACGATGATAGGTATTGATTGAGAAAGATATACTACACTTTTTACCTACAATGAAGAATAAATGGGGAAAATAGACGTCATGAATAGAAAAAGGAAAATATAATAGACATACTTTTCATTAAGTATAGGAATTCTATCCAAAAAACGAATGATAAGTAGAAGTAGAGATTGCTGAGAAAAGATGGGTTATTGATAAAAATCAAAATTGGCTCCTTCCAGTAACCCTCTCATTTAGTCCAGAGTTGCTGCTGAGTGATGTCCGAAGCTGTTTTCTCTTAAGATAAGTTGAGTATAGTATATATTTTAGTATAGAATTCTCAGATTCACTTCGAGGTCATCTACCTACATTTGACCATAAAAAATCATTAACAATCAACTACCTAATCGATCCAACAACGGACGTTTTCTTGGTGTGTCTTCTTTCAAAATATCTCAATCAAATTGTCCATAGTTAATCTTGTCATATATGGAATTATTATTGATACTAAATGACGATACTTAGTCACTTTTTTTTCTATTCCATCCCGATGAGTTTGTATGGCTAACATGATAAAGAATATCCATGACAATGAAAGAACATATAATTCTATTGCTTCTAGTGCGTCACATTCATTTCGATCTATCACGAATTATAGCTCATTCGACAATCCGTCTTCAGATCCATCGAAATACCTAAGGATATAGAGAGCAACAATCATAGAATAATTGCGTTGTTGGTACAAAGACTTTGATCCAATTAGGGAAAATTGTACATGCTGTTGTAGATCCTTTGCATCAGCGAAGTACTGTGGAATAATAGGAATTGTACGTGAAGTTAAATGATGAGCTGATTTTGGCGAAGGTTCATGGAAAAGAATTATCGCTCGGTTATTGATACCTTGGAATGGCAAGGAGGCTCGGTTTATCATTTCATGAGGCTCAAGATAGATACGGTAACAGTTGATGTATTGCATCGATGATTGTTCACCGTCGTTATCAACGTTGTCTGGTCTTTCCCATCGTTCGAAGAATAAAATCAGACAATGAAGGGTAGGTGATTGCAACGACTAATGAAACGGTTTCAAGTTGAACAATTAGATCACAAGCTCACAATATTTTCTGTGATGAGTTGAATAGTTGAACGATATGATAGTCGAATTACGTGTGCTAATAGAATTAGAACTCAAATGATGTTGAAGAATCTTTACATGTTTGAGTTATTTGATCCACATGGCGTGTGATATCTGTTGTTCAAGGTTTAGCTTTCACATACTGATCGATTGAATTTATTTTCAACTTATCATCTAATATGTGATCCAGAAAACAAAATTTCGATCATCTGATGATATCGTTTGTGAACTCTTTTCATGGTTTTTCATCACATACTCAACATACACCTCATTAAAATCTATTAATAAAAAAAAAAAAATAAATTTCTTTAATACATATTCAATTTATTCTATTATTGTTCAATCAGATTCAATAATAATTGATGAATATTCATTTAAATTAAATTCACCATTATTCATAATTTGATTTTCATTTTGTGTAGAAAAAATAATTTTTCCTTTATTTTGACGATAAATTTCTGGTATTGTAATACATTGTCTTCGAGATCCAATATTATGTGCAATAAATATGAATTTATTATTATATTCTCGTTCAAAAAGACATAAACAACGAATTTTTGTTATAATAGGTCTTAATAAACCAAAACATAATATATCCGATTGACAACGAATATGAATTAATTTTTTATAATGATTAACAAGTGAATTTGAATCTTCAAGTTGTTTATCAAGTGGAATACAACCATTACTAATTTTTGTATATAGTGATTCAAGCCATGTTGTTTGTCCTTGACAATTAGTTGATGACCAAAGAAAAGGTTCTCGACGATATTTATCATAGGGTTTTCTACCTAACATTCCAATTTCTTCACCATAATAAATAAAAGGAAGACCAGGTAGCGTAAGAAGAAGTGCAGCAGCCATTTTAGCTTTTGATAAATTATTATTAAATACAGACATAACTCGATTTTGATCATGATTAGAAAGAAAAATAGCATCAATTACTTCTTTTTTATCACTTTCTTTTATATATGTATTTAATATTTTCATATAAGATTTAAGCATTAATGAACCATTACCTTCATATAATATACAAGATATGAGTATATCAGCTAATTCAAAATTAAATACGGAATCAAATGAACGAAGATATGGAGCTATTTGTGTTGATAAATCCCATACTTCACCAATTAAATATACAGAAGGATTAATACGAGACATTTCATTACGAAATTTCGTCCACCAAGTAATATTAGATTTAAGACGAGGAGGTTTATAAAAATATTTTGCTGCATCAAGACGAAATCCATCAACACCTAATTCAAGCCATCTACGACCAATATGACACATTTCATCTTGTACATGTTCGCAATCATAATTTAAATCAGGCATACGTGGATCAAAGAGAGCATAATATGTATTTGTTATAGTTTGTTCAGGTTTTAAATTTGTTAATGACTTTTCATGTAATTTCGACGTTACTCGATCATCTATGTAATGTATATATATTTATCTTATTGATTATTCAAAAACTAATATAGTATAAAACAATTTTTAAAAATATTTTGAGAATCATTTTTCCATAATAGAATAAGAAATTGAATTATAAAATCTTAGATTCTCAGTTCTTGTTCAGACTTCAACTATCTGATGATTTGATTTGATTTTGACAAACGATGAATAATTCATTGAATTTATTTAAATATTTTTTGTTTGAAAAAACCAAGTCTATATATGAAATTTACTTATCAAAATTGTAGTTTATTTCATCAAGAAATATTTTTCAATTGATCTCAGAGAAAATTTTTTTTGTTCATAAACCGAACTGATTATATTCTTAGGTATCATTGTACAAGAACCATGACTGATCCTATTCATAGTTCAATTTTAAAATATTCAAAAGAACTTAGCATCTCTGTTGGCAAACATTGAGTACGGTTAGAAGTTCGATTGTATCGCTAAAAAATGCATTGTAGGAAGCATGATAGATTTTACACGTATCTAAGATTTTAATAGAGTGCCTACTATGCTGATGAGTCATTGTTTTTCCGCAAGGATTCTTAAACAGATCAATGCGATTTGTTTTCATTTGACGCTTGACAGAATACTATATTAATCTTCTAATAGAGAACATATTCTGATGATTATATTAGTAAAAAAAATAAACGCTATTTAACCTTCCAAGTCTATCTATACCAATGTACCACATAATTTCTGGAACAGATGACTAGACGCTGTTGAATAAGATCTCGTACAGGTACGGTTTTAAAGTTTTCTAACTCTAATCTAATGTATTCTACAGATCATCTACAAATTAAACAGTTGAAGTTATTACAGAATCAGAGTCTGGGGCGTATTCTGCATATTGCATTTAATATTTCTTTTTTAACTATTTATGCTCTAATTTTTGTTTTTGAAATGATCAGATATCTCATTATTGAGAAATCAATTCCAGAGATATTTCAATTATATGTATATCTGAAGAAAGATCTGTTCTATTCTACCTTTATTAACCGAAATATTTGTTTTTGATTTTTTCTCAAATGTTTCCCAATCAAAATGTTCACTTTCTGGTCCAACTTTATGCCATAAACCAACTAGATTAGCATCTGGTGTATCAAAAGCATTTAAACCTAGTTTTTGTACTCTTTCACTATCCATCCATATATAATAATCACGATACGGATTTGTTACTGAATTTAATTGAGCTTGTTTAAACCATGGATGATCATAACTTGTGTGATTAGCAACAAGATCAAGGATTAATAATATACCACGTTCATGACATTCATTAACTAAATGACGAAAATCATCTATTGTTCCATAATTAGGATGAATATCCATGTAATCTTCTACATCATATTTATGATAAGTTTTAGCTGGATGAATAGGCATAAGCCATATTACTGTAATACCTAAATCTGATAGATAATTTAGCTTTTGACGAAGACCATTTAAATCACCAATACCATCTCCATTAGAATCGAAAAATGATTGAACAAATATTTCATATCCAACTCCATGTAAACATCGTCGAACTGATTCTGATGTTAGATGTTTTATAGACATTTTATATTAAAAAACACTCTTGAAACATTGACAAAATCATTTTTTTTATTTAAAAAATATAATCATCTCTAAAAAGAAAGATTTTGGCTTGAGAATAGCTACGATTTGTTATGTGTGCAAAGGATGCTTCGAACAAAATAGAGTCCAACTAGTCCTGGAAGAATAACATTTCACAAATCTAATTTTAATAATAAAATGTTTCCATAGCAAAAAAATCATATCAGTAGTCAAAATTGTTCGAACTTAGGTAGAAATAAATAATAATAGTGAGTAATCATTTCTTAATCATAGGAAAAAAACATCCAATAAAAGATTTTCAAAAGATGTCACTCAATTTAGGAAAAACAAATAGTTCTATGAAAAAATATAATATTCATGATAAATGTTTGATTTGGTTTTTTTATTAGACAATTTTTCGATCAATACAATATTTACTGTTAGTTTTTGCTTATATTGAAACACGACGAAGGAAGATCTCCGGCTACCACTTTATTTTAGATTATAAGATCAGAAACTGTCGATACAATGACATCTCGAAATTAACTGATTTTTTTTTTATATGTTATACAGGACAGTCAGTTATGTGCTTCTTGAAATTTTCAGCTCGATTGACTGAGTATAAATCATTTTTAATTCAAACTAATTGTCTCATTATAGTGATATTTAAGAGAACATACATAGGACCACTAAGAAGTTGAAGCGCTCGTCAAAATCTTTTTTTTTTAAATTAAATATTCTTATCTTACACAGTATCATCAAAAACCGCTAAATTAAGCTTTTTAGCACATTCGATTGGACTAGTGGAAAGTTAGCCAATTTTATTGTCGAGCACTTAAGAGGTTATTTGATGGATATGAATAAAAATTATTTCTATGGGGCGTTGCACGTAAGCCACGATCACCGTTACTCTATCAACGTCTCCGATTTGGCTGATATTTTTATAGTAGGTAGGCACATGTGAGTTAAGAATAATCTGAAAATTACAGCTCAAACGGATGAGCAGTTCTAGAGATACAGGAAATACAATTATAGGCTTTAGAACTCATTTGTAGTACTTTGCAGGGTGGATAGATGCTATCTAAAAAAAAATCCGTTTTCTCAGGTACCCGCATAGGCTTTCTAAATAATAGGAAATTCAAAAAATCCAATATATCGATGTCTCGCATTCCATCTTGTAAATGTATGAAAAGTTTTCGAACAAGGGTTTCCGAAAATTCGTTAACTCGAAAAAGCTGATAAACTCATATGATGTTGAGAACATTCTAAAGAGTAAAATGAAACTAATCATTTGTTTTTCACTCGAAAGAGCGAAGTCAGCATTTTATTGTTGATTTTTAAGCATAAGCAGGTTGTAATATTCATTTAAAGCCAGAGACTTCTGGAGTTCTCACTCTCTACCGCTTTCAAAAGACACGATAGCTATTTTTAATTGTTACATCACACTTTTGCTAACATATAAAAAATTGAGACTAACGGAAAAATATCAATATAATGTAAGATTAGTTTGAAAGTAGAACATGCTTTCAGATTTAGAAAAAAAAAGTAATACAAATTAAGAACGAGCCGGTTTTGAATATATGATGCCGAATATATGAGGATCGTTCGATTCACTAAATATCTTTAAAATTGATAGAAAACAATGATCAGGAAAGAAAATTCAAGCATAAAAAACGCTTGTTTAAGAAGCATTTGTATGTTAATCATGAGTTTTTAATGAGAATTTGAAAAGTTTGTAAAACTTCGGAAAACTTTCAGAATGTCGGACAAAGACTCGAAAACCGATGTTGATTCTCCATGATACCTTGTTTAGATTTAGTATTTTCAAAAATCTGTCGACAATCAAAAAGCTATTTCCGCATATTCCTTCGGCTCTCAACTCTGATTTTCCTGAACCATCAGTTTCCTGCAATACCGTAGCAATTCCCGAGCATAGAATTAGGTTTCCGATAGCAAGAAAAAGATCTTTCAGAACAATTTCAGAGCGTCAAAATCGGAAATTTAGAAAACCTAAGAATTTTCGACCTTTCGGAAACCAAGAAAGTGTTCTAAAAAAACATCTGTAATGTTTGGAAACCTTCTTGTAAACTTTAAAAAGTTTATGAGAGCAATGGTAGGGATGGGTGGCTGAGTGAGGGTGAGAGTAAAGTTGATTCTTGACCAATCCATCCTCACCTATTCTCATCCTCAATGAAATCTATGGAAGGTGTGGGCGTTGGATGTGGGTGTGAATTTTGGAGAGAAAAAGACATAAATTCACAGCCATACTCACGCCCACACCCATATGTTTGTTCAATATTGAAATGTCCTTTATTCATACGATGTTATCTTTTGTATGCACTCATATTCACTTCAAATCTATCTATTTACGCGATATTGAAATTTCTTTGCTTTTCGAAAGTGTCATCTCTCTTTACACGTACATAATATACTCTTGTATTTTTGGCTTCTGGAACTTCATTTGTTGTTAAGTTTTGTAACGAAAACAGAGTGTGAGTGTGATATGGTGTAGGTATGGATGAGTTATCTTCTTAAACAATACCCTACACCTACACTCGTAATGTAGAGCACAAATATGGAGATTTACACTTTTAATAGTTTCCATACATAAAATAAGAGAAAATATGTTGCAGTGAGGGAAGCAAATAAAATACCATTTTGCCATTCTTTTCATGAATAAAAATACACATTCTTGTCTTTTGCAGTGGAAAAGACAACTTCCCTCATTTAGGGAATAAAGAAAGTATGTCTAATGTCTTGGTCACAACAATCTATTTTTTGTTTTATAGCATAGTTTTTTTTTAAATATAGTAATATAGAGAAGAAGATTTCCTACCTTCCAACTAGCGACACTAGTGTTGAATAATATTAAGACAATTTCAATAAGCTCTATACTTTTTTCCTAGATTTCAGAAGTTTCAAGAATGTTCCTCGTCTCCTTAATAATCATGGACTGTAGCGTCAGACAGCAGCACGGCATGGATATGGATGTGAATATGAATCGACTTTTAACCCACACTCACATCTGCATACTGTCGAGGTCACAGTCGAGAGAACTGAATGATAATCTAATGATACTTCATGAGTACCGAACATTTCAATTGACTGTGAGACTTTAATCAAACATGTACGTCTGTTGTAACATTTTCTTTCCATTATATTTATATTATAGTATTCAAAACTTATAAAAGATATCCGAACATCAATACGATAACAGCAGTTTGTCGAAATAGCCAAATAAAATGATTCATAAACTACTAGTTTATAAAAAATAGTAAACAGCTCAAAGTCAAGATTGATAGCAAGGAACAGAAAACCAACTTCATGTCTTAATATTGCACACTAACATGTTTGTAGGAGAAATTTTAGATTGTCAGCGCCCTCGTTAGCAATAACTAAACCCAGCTTTCTGTCATTATTAAAATCACCAACGACAACAGAAAATGGAAGTCTTCCATGACCAACTGAGAAAAACTTTGGATTGGAAAAATTGCCATTGCCATTCCCATATTCAAGAAGAACACATACACTGTTCGAACCATGATTAGCGACAATAATGTCTAGTAAGGTGTCATTGTTAAAATCCCCAACTGCAACTGAGTATGGCTCAGAATAGGAACCAGTTGAGTAGGTCATTTGATTTGCAAAAGAACCATTGCCATATCCTAAAAATATACCTATATTATCGTCCTTAGAATTAGCAACGACAATATCCAGGTTACTGTCGTTGTTAAAATCACCGAGCGCTACAGATTTTGGAGCAGCACCCGTTGTATATGCTAATTGATTTGTAAAAGAGTTATTGCCATATCCAAGAAAAATACCGACGTTATTAGTTCTCGAATTAACAACAGCGATATCCATGTGATCGTCATTGTTGAAATCACCAATAGCAAACGATTGTGGTCGAGAACCATTACCAGTTGAGAGTGTTCTTTCTTTTACAAAAGCTTCATTGGCATATCCAAACAGTAGAGCTATATTATTGTTACCAGGATTAGTAACGACGATATCCAGTCGCTTGTCATTGTTGAAATCACCAATAGCGATAGAAGTTGAGCGAAATCCACCATTAGAATAAATTATTCGTTGATAAAAGGAGCCATTTCCAAATCCAAGAAGAACACTTACAGTGCGATCATACTTATTGGAAACAACAATATCCAATCTTGCGTCATTATTAACATCACCGATAGCAATAGACTGCGGATAAGAGCCAGCAGAAAACGTGATTTGTTTGGCAAAAGAACCATTGCCATATCCTAGAAGTACGCCTATTGTATTGTTATCACTACTAACGATTACAATATCCAATTGAGTGTCATTGTTAAGATCACCAGTTACCATAGATGTCGGCATAGAGACAAGAGAAAACGTAATTTGTTTAGCAAAAGAGCCATCGCCATATCCAAGAAGTATACTTACAGTGTAATCATCTTCATCAGCGACAACGATATCCAGCTGATTGTCATTGTTGAAATCACCGACAACAACTGAATTTGGATGATAACCAGTGGAAAATGTAATTTGATCATTGAAAGAGCCATTGCCATATCCAAGAAGGATACCTATATTGTTCTCGTTTCTATTAGTAACAACAATATCGACTCGTGTGTCTTTATTGAAATCTCCGACTGCTACAGATTGCGAATAAGATCCAGTAAAAAATATAATTTGATTATCAAAAAAACCATTACCATATCCAAGAAGTAAACTTACACTATCATTAAAACCATTAATAACGACGAGATCTAAATTTGTGTCATTGTTGAAATCACCAACTGCTACGGACTGTGGATAAAAGCCTGTGGAAAACATCATTTGATCTTTAAAAGAGCCATTACCATATCCTAGAAATATACTGATTGTATTGTCATTATTATTACAGACGATAATATCTAGTATTGTATCATTGTTGAAATCATCAACAACGATAGACTGTGGCTGAGAACCAGTAGGATATGTCGTTGTATTTGTAAAAAATCCTATATCATATGTAACAAATATATCAACATTTTCAGTATTATCATATGCGACAACAATCTCAGAACGTCCATTATTGTCGAAATCACCAGCAACGACTACGAAGGGAGTAAAATTGGAATGAATCTCATAACTTTTCTGCAGCGAAAACATTCCATTATCATTTCCAAGAAATAATTCGACATTTTTAGTATTTAAATTAGTCACTACAATATCTAGTTGAGTATCATTATTGAAATCAGCAATGGCTATTGATTTAGGATGTGAATTTAATCCCACTGTATACATCATCTGGCTTTTAAACGTTCCATTACCATATCCAAGAATGACACCTACGTTATCCGTAGCATAATTGGCAACAACAATGTCTAATAGATTGTCATTATTAATATCGACAACGGCAACAGAACTTAGACGAGAACCACCACCAGAGGCAAGTGCTATTTCCTTTTTTACGGCTCCACTGTTGTCATAAAGCAGTATACAGACTTCATTGCTAATAGAATTGGTTACTATAATATCTAGTTTAGTGTCATAATTAAAATCGCCAACAGCTAGTGAAGATGGACCAGAGTTCGTAGAAAATGTCATTTGATTTTCAAAAGAACCATTGCCATAACCTAGAAGTAGACTTACAGTATCATCATGATTGTTAACGACAACAATATCGACTTGTGTATCATTGTTAAAATCATCGACAATGACTGCATATGGAAAAGAGCCAGTTGGAAATGTCATTGGATCTTCAAATGAACCATTGCCATATCCGAGAAGTATATTAACAGTATTCATCTCGTCAAAATTTGTGACGACAATATCTAATAATGCATCATTATTGAAATCACCAATAGCTAATGCGTATGGTTGAGATTGGGTAAAAGATACAATTTGCTTTTGAAAAGAACCGTTCCCATATCCAAGAAGTACACTTACAAAATAGTTTCGATAGTTAGCGACAACAATATCAACTCGTGTATCATTGTTGAAATCAGCAACTGCTACAGATTGCGGAAAAAAGCCAGTGGAAAACTTTAATTTGTTTTCAAAAGAGCCATTCCCATATCCAAGAAGTACACTTACGGTGTGTTCCCCATAATTAGTGACGACAACATCCAATATTGTATCATTATTGAAATCATCGACTGCCACAGATTGTGGAGAAATGCCAGTGGCAAATGTTCTATGATTTTCAAAAGAGCCATTCCCATATCCAAGAAGTATACTTACAGTATGATCACCATGATTAGTCACAACAATATCTAATATTATATCATTATTAAAATCACCTACAGTTACTCCATATGGATTAGCTCCAGTAGAAAACGTCATTTGGTTTTGAAAAGAACCATCAGCATATGCAAGCAGTACACTGACAGTGTTGTCATAATAATTAGTGACAACAACATCTAGACGTGTGTCGTTGTTAAAATCACCGACGGCAACGGACTGTGGAAATCGACCAGTAGAATATGTACTTTTGCTGGAAAAGCCTTTGTCATAACCATAAAGTATAGCTATAATGTTAGTGTCATTGCTTACAACAGCCATATCTAATCGACGATCGTTGTTGAAATCACCTACTGCTGCTGCTATGGAAGAAGATGATCCAGTCGAATACATTTTTGGACTTGCAAAAGTACCGTTGCGATAGCCTAGAAGCATACCTATATTGTTAGAGCCGTTATTAGTTACGACTATATCAAGTTGATCATCATTGTTAAAATCAGCAATAGCAATGGAATATGGTGAAGAAGTGCCCAGTGAATATATTGTTTGATGTGAAAAAGTTCCATTGCCATAATTCAGAAATATACCAACACTTCGTGTCCCATAATTGGCAACAGAGATATCCAGTAGATTGTCATCATTGAAATAAGATGCAGCAACAGAGCATGGACGAGAGCCAAGACCTGTAGATAACGTCTTTTGATATTTAAAGTTACCATAGCCATCTCCAAACATTATACCTATATTATCTGTGCCTGAATTCGCAATAATAAGATCTAGTTTGTTGTCATTATTTAAATCTCCAGAAATAACTGAGGATGGACCTGAATCATAGCCTGTTGAATACATAGTTGGACTTGAGAAACTTCCATTCCCATATCCGCAGAATACGCTAATACTATTGATACCATAGTTTGCAGAGACAATATCAGGTAATGTATCATTATTAAAATCTGCAATATGTATCCAGCATGGACGAGATGAACTAGTTGAAATCAATATTTGGTTTTCAAATAATCCATCTTCATATCCAAGAAAGATACCTATGTTGTTAGTGCCGAAATTTGCGACAGCGACATCTAACCGATTATCTTTATTGAAATCACCAACTGTAATCATAGTTGTAGAAGAGTCATTACCAGTTGAATAAGGTGTTTGCATTTCAAACGTGCCATTACCATAGCCAAAAAAAACTACAATTGTACTAACAACATGATTTGTAACAACAATATCTAACCAAGTGTCATTGTTGAAATGACCCACAGCCACAGATCGAGGACCATAATTGTATTTAATTGAATCTGACACTTTTAATACGAAGTTCAGCTCACATTTTTTAACTAAACAACAAAATAACTGTTGTTAATCTACTGTTGAATTTCATACGAACATGTCTCACTAATTAATAAAAAGTACTTTGAATAGAAATCTTCAAGTACTTGAAACTACTACATAGAATAAGTGACATTCAATTATCATTTAATCGTATGAATAAATAGAGATGTAGACTAAAAAAATAAAACTTAATACAAAATACTGACGTTCTAAATTTTTTCAACATCAACAAACTACTAATACTATTGTTTTTGCAATAATGTCATTCATGCATAGGTTACATTTCTTTTTTGTTTTTTTACAAAAATGATTTATAGTTATTGACACGATATCACAATCTGTCTCACGAATATTTCCTTCATCTTTACCTTCATCGTTCATTTCTTCGTTAGTTAGAATGAATATAATTAGGAAAATCTGATTGTTTTTCGATTGCTTGTTTTTATTCTTGGAAGAAAAATTAGTCAAAATAATTAGTTTTCGAATTATGAAAAAAATTCAATCACGCCTTTTATTACAGTAAAGAAATTAAATGTTCTAATCAACTCTCTCTTACAAAATCATTGGAAAAATTACCTGACAATTGCATAATCTATAGATACTTCAATAGTAAGACAACTAAAATTTTATCTAGTTGATCCAGATTAATCTGAAGAACAATTAAAATTGATTTCAATAATAAATTGACAATGAGTATTTGTTGAAAAAAGATAAATTATCTTTTTTATTTCGATGAATCTCGAACAGCAATCATAACGGTATGTTTTAGTTCATTGAAAGCAATAATAACTCCAATAGCAAGTACTATCGGGTGGGTCATAATGAATCGCCACGTTTTGTATTTCATTTTTTCATCATTTAATATGCTTCGTTAAAAAAAAATATACCAAAATATGCAATGTGAAAATCTCTACAATTTACATCAAATCGATTATTTTATAGTTGTACTTTTTATTTTTAGAATGGACAAAATTTTGAAAACAATTACAATAAGCTTTACTGTGTAAAATTGTAGAGCTTTTCACGCTACATCTTGCGGTATATTTTTTTTTAACGAAGCGTATTAAATGATGAAAAAATGAAATGCAAAACATGGTCATTCATTATGGCCAATCCGATATTTTAAGAATCAAATATGCATTTTTTAAATTCTTATTTAGATAAAGAGCTACAGTAATCAGAATCATGTAAAAATGTTTAAAATTTAATTGTATATTCTGTATTTAGATTAATTACAAGGAAACTGTACAACTAAGTATTACTTAAAAAGAAAATTAAATTGAATTCGATATTTACGATGACGAAGATTCTCGCTTATTGAACAACCACTAGGAATTTTTGACAAGCTCCCTTATAAATCTTCGGAGATCTCCTGGAGATTCGTTAAGGGATTCTTGACTAGGATGACAAGTAATAGAATCCTACGTTTATTGAATACTTAGAATTCGACTATAGAACTTTGATTTAATTGTTTCTATCAAATCAGTTATTATTTTTACCCAAAAAAAGTGATTAACCTTTTAGAAAAGCTTGTAAAACTTTAACTATTCAGATTATCATAGTGTTATTTTTAGAATTTATCAACAAATGTATCGTTTGATTTCATTGTTCTTATATAAAAATGATTTTTCTATTCAAAAGAATCAAAAGAACATTACTTGTATATTTTGGTGAAGTAAAACAAACCATTAGTATACCAACAGTCATCATTATAATAACCAATATAGTAAATTTGCATATAGTTATTGTATCCACGGAAATTCCTGCTGTTTGATTATTGATGGAAACAATTTCTTCATTATATTGATTTTGTATTGAATTGTCAACTTGTTGATTGTTAACATGAGAATTTTGTGCATGAATTGAGTTTTTGACTGAAATAACAAGGTTATTAATGGTAGATTTTTGCATCTGTAATAAAAAAAAAGAACATTGTTTATAGTATCGATCTCACGGACCTTATTCAATTATAATTCGAATAATTTTATTTAACTTACGTTTATAAATGATTCATTAATTATTTTCTACATGAAATAGTTATAATTTCTAAAACAACAAATCTTTTTTTCCGATTAATTTTTATTTGAAATAATGAATATTAACAAAATTTTATTTAAATATGTTATTCAGATTAGTTTTCAAAGGTAACATAAAGATTTACATTCTATAAAATAAATAAATAAATGCGGAAACTTCGGATTTAAATCCGAGAGTTATATGTACTTCAAAAAGTGAATGAGACAGATGAGTCGTTCTAGAATATGGGGATATAAAAATTATTCTGGCAAACCTTATCTATAAACACTTGAATTCTATTGGCTACTGCTCAACCAATAGGATTTGGGGATGAATACAGAGAAGATTTGAACTCTTCACCTTGATTTATCCTAAGAAAGTCGTTTTTCCTATAACTTGATTTCTATTGGTTACTGTTCAACCAATAATATTTCGAGGCGAATAGAGCACAGATTCGAGTTCTCCACCCCAGAAAACCTCGAACTATCATCTCTGTGATCGAAAGATAGAGCTCTATTTGTGGATCAATTAGAGCGTGACAAAAACAGAACCGAATTCCGATTAATTATCTTTGCAATAGCTGAGTTGGCTTTCTTGTTTCCTTATGTTTTATATACCATTTTGTAGCTCGTAAAATTCTCTATCGAATGGTATATAATAGTTGGGGTTTTAGTTGACTATGATAGGAAAAGTCTTTTACGAAAGTGGGGATGGGTCGATCTTTCCATAGGGAAGGTGCAGGGAAAAATTAGTATTTTTGCAATAACTCAGGAAGGGCTCGGCCAATCCTTCTCATCTTCGAACTCGACGGAGATATAGTTAAGACTGAACTGTGTAGAAAATTTCATCGCGATCGGACTCTCCTTTCAAAAGTTATCGTGTTAACGGCCGGACGGCCGGACACACTGACCGATTCTAGAGTGTACTCACTTTTTGAGTACACAAAAAAACCTAATATGAAGATATGTTATAATGAAATATCCGTTTTATATAAGTTTTTCTTCCAACTCAATTATTCAATCAGAAGTGTTCATTGAAATATGGTTTTATTTAATTAAGAACTTTTAATTTAATTGATAAATATTGCTTTTGATCTTCGATTTGATAATTTGTTTCTATTCTAACCCATTCTATCAAAAAATCTATCTATATTGTCTTATTCAATTACTCATGTAGCAAAAAAATGAATAATTTTAGCAGTAAAACGCAAGTTACCGGCAAAGATCACTGGTTAAACGTTAAAGCAGGAAAATCGGCGATTTTTTTCTCTCGGTTTTTATTACATGAGTGATTGAGATTTGATCTTTTTTAATAATATACGGTTACATTAAGAATAAAGATAGGTTTTTCGTGAAACCATGAATGAATGAAATAGCTTTTCATTAATTTTAATTTAATATAAATAAATCAAATATTTTTAATCAGTTCATCTCAGATTTTATTTCAATTGAGACATCATTCACTATCATACTCTAATAAAATTTTATATCTATTTATATGATCAACATTCTTTTCAATTGTAAACATTTTTCATCTTAGGAATATTCAGAAGGTTTTTTGTTCATTTTCATATGAATTTTGCTATAGAGTACAGAAGAAAAAAAATAGTTTCTAATCTTAAATTATATTTGTTTATTTGTTCTTCTTTCTTACAAAATTCTTCTAACTAACTTACTTCAATTCTATGAATTATTTACATGATTTTAATAAAGATCTACAACAATTTTTTCTTAGCATCAAATCGCAATATTTGAAACACAATTGAATTGAAGATCTTGTCATTATTTTAGACATTCAACTTTTTAATTATTTATTAAGAGATGAAAATCAAAGTGTAAAGCATCGATTATAAAATTTTTTATTAAAATAAGTCTATTAAAAATATATAAAATCAACTTTTTAAAGAGAATGGCGATTAATATTTGTTCTTATGTTCGTTTAATTATTTTGAAACTAGAAAAAAAAAACTAAGCCGACGAAAATTTATGTTTTTAAGTAACTTTCTGTAAGAAAATGGAACATGCGACTAAAGATTAAAAACAAACAAATGATATGAATTCGATCATAAAATTTTATTCTGATATTTAACTTGAAAAAATGTCTGTAGCTGCAGGTAAAATGCGATGTATACAAGACTCCTAATAACTGTAATGAATTTGAAAAAAAGACTTCGGTTTGCATAGTTTAGTTATATAGAAGAATGATCTCATTTTAACGAAAAATAAATAAATATATGCAAAAAAAAAACACACAACGCTTGTATGGTCTAGAATATGCACTGTAAAATAACTAACTGAAATCTACGTATTGATATAAAATTGCTGCGGTAATAGTTTTCATCAATACGAACTTTTCATATTGATATGCAGCATCTAACGAAATTCTGATTATCTTGTAGGTATACATAAATAATACATTGATATTTACATATGAGTCATAAATCTCGCATTGAACATCCCAGAACCTTATATGTGAGTATTTGCAAGGATAAGAATCATGCGTGATCTAGCATGTTCTGCCTAGAAATTTTTAAAAAATTATAATTGCAAGCATATGATTGTAAAACGCAGGCTTATGGATACTATACTGTTTATATTTATACTCAATACTTGCCGATATTTCAAATATCTATGCATGTTTGTACATGAGATGTACCAAGAGAAAAGATATCTTGCAAGTTCATGCTTATGTTAGATATTCTATAAAAATCTTAAAAAAGGACTAACTTAACTTCTTTTATTTTCCTATGTTAATTGTTGCTTACCTTTTCTTATAAACATCTATTGTAATTCATAGACAAAATAATTATT